AAAAGAGATAAAATATTTTGAATTTAGATTAGAAATTCTATCATGGATAATATAATATATTATAATAAAATAAACATTTTTTGAAAATCTCAAGTACCTAGCTATCTACGGTTATTMGTTTTTAAGTTACTTTAGGTGCATCATAAGAAAAAAATTAATTTTTTCAAAAACTGGCTCTGCATGATATTCCTTCTATTTTTATCTACCAAAGTACTAACTATATTTAATTTTTTATCAGAAACTACTCTCAAAAATTAAAATCAAAGCTAATGTAAATTATTTCAACTACTTATCTTATATATTCGAGTATATATTGCAACTCACAAAAAAAATATATCATTGTAAAATCCGAGGTAAAATCAATACATTCACCGCCTTGCTCATAATCCAAAACAGTTCTTATCAATTATTCGATTCTCAGTTCATATAAATYACACGTAAAGAATATATGTCAAGTATAGTATCACCTCTATAGACGTTTTAAAAACAAATAACATTGTCCTTAAAATACAAATTTGCAACCACACCTGAATTAAAAAATATTTATATACTCGTAATTATGTTTTTTTTTCTATCTTACTCGTAGAAATTCTACATTCAGAAAATGCTTCTCTCCGTATCTCACTGATTGTTTTAACATTATTAAAATATAGTTATCATTTCTTACCATAATAACTATAAAGATAGATTTAAATTTTTTAATTGTTAGTTATTTAGTCACCTTCTTATTAATAATTATGTTATAAAGTTTCTAACATAGATTATGTTATAATTTTTATATTTGTTAAATCTTATAGGTTACATTAAATCTTATTATACTCAAATTTAAATAATATTATCATCACAGTGATTTAAATATGAAGATAAMAATTAAATTACATATTTTAACCATTGTTAACATGGCATTTTAATGAGTGTAATATTTTGTAATATTATTTATAATCTCGATTCTCAACTAATCTACAATGTCTTTGTTTAAAAACGTCTGTATACAAGGTTTACAAGGGATACCACATTTTCTCAAAGGCTTAAACAGTACTTCTAAAGTAAAATAGCGATTATACGCACTATATAATATTGTAATATGTCTATTCGTTATAAGATTAGTATGAAAAAACGTGCTCTATATGCCTATAGGTACGGGTTCTAATGTCACTGTTACATACTGCAATAGTCAATAGAACATGCTGAACATGGTATATCACCAATTTACTATTCATGTCATACCAAAAATGATATAAACAATGTCTTATCAGGCGTGTGCACTAAATATGAATAATATGTGGTATACGTTTTAATTCGATGTACAGTATATCGAATTAAATTGTGTTTAATTGTGTTAATACACTAGGCCTTTGGAGATTTCACTGACATTCTATGTTAATAATATATTATTGTACCTATTGTGCATTATAAATTGTATTATGTATAGTATATACTATATAGTTAGTATTGTTATTTGTTAGTATTAATAGTATTAAAAATCGGCTTATTGATGAACAAAGAAGAAGTAATAATAACCGTACTATAATAAATGGTGACCTTTGAATCTATTTTTAAACTCCATACTAAGAAATTGTATACTTACAGTTAAGCAGGCGATTCCCCTTATCATAACCTATAATAAATGCTCGAAAATATTTTTAATTTTTTCTCATTGAAAACGCTTTGTAATAAATATTTGTTTTTAACTATTTTTTTTTTATACTACATAATGTTATGTATACATGTATGATGATTCGTAGTATAGACTTAAATAACTAGTCGGCAAAATAAAAATATTTGAAACAATTGGTTTAACCAGTTATTGTACCACATATATTATATATATGATTTTGAAATTTTGGAACTCACTTCCAGACAAATTTTATATTTTGGATGTTTATGATTATTATATATATTCTATGTATGTTTAGGAGCTTGAAAAAATAAATTTTACAAAATATAACGTTTGACCTAAGTGCCTTATTGAACCTTTTTTGATATTGTGTGTGTGTATGTGCTATACATAGGTATATTTATCTCGCCTTCGGGAGTGATGATAGAAGCTGGATCGGTCGGTGTCAGCTTGACCATGTGGATTCTGTGCGGCATGCTGTCCATGATCGGAGCACTGTGCTACGCCGAACTGGGCACCTCCATACCGCGATCGGGCGGCGACTACACGTACCTGTTCGAGGGATTTGGACCACTGCCGGCGTTCCTTTACTTGTGGGACGCTATGCTCGTGTTTGTGTACGTAAATTAAATTCAAATATAATTAATGATACCTACGACATAAAAACCATAATATTAAAATTGAAATTCCTTTACTATATAATTATCATTACAATAGAACTCTATATCCAAAAATTTTTKATAGGGATCTCATATTTATTTAACACAACAATTGGATTAAACTTAGATTAATCATAAAATATTTTATTTTATTATGTATGAATAAAACTGTGTAGTGGTTTAATTTATTTTGGGCGAGGAGGTGGACGAAATGGTTGTAATTATCGGTGCATATTAGTCGCCTCCCAAAATATACGAATTGCCTCCTAAGAATTTTCACACTAGAGTTACTTACTCAATCAAGTAGTGGTTCATAAACTTCACTATAAAACTCCTCGTAAAAACGTGAATCGAATTTAATTATTTATAACGAAAACATAATCATTATTAGGGTATATATTATAAGCATAATACATTAGCCAATATTTGTTTATATTCAAAATTTGATATTTTTATATGAAATGTTAAGAATAAGTACAGAATTCTATTCTAAAATAATAGTTATATAAAAACTAATCAATAAAATAATATTAGGTAATTTTATATGCATTTTCATTTAGTGGTTACAAACGATACTCGATCATTATTACAATAAAGTRTATTATTAATTATTATAGTTAAGCTCAGCTAAGTAATCTGGTTTGGAATTGGATTATATCTTATCATTGCACAAACTGACAAACTAGTATATATCTATAGTATATTATCTTAATGTTTAGTTATACAGGTATAATTGTGTCAAATATCAATGCACAAAAGTCATAAATTATGACTTAGAAATTACAAACTTATTTTGTTAAGTACTACCTATTTGAAAATGTTTGGAACTATTTATACATTTATTACCTGCCCATTAGGAGGAAACTATAACACTACACCTTTTTTGTTTATGATAATATTTAGGGTACGTTGGAAGGCAATTCATATAAAAATTATAGACCTTTTTGATTTCGGGAGGCAACTAGTGTCCACCAATATTTATTACAATAAATATAAATTATTATACTCCACTCTGATCTCGTTTGTTTTATGCAACTGGACACATCTCATAGATAAAAATAAACTTACCAAAAAACTTTAAGGAATTATAAACATACTAAATTATTGTTTGTAATAATAGTTGATCAATTAAAAATTAATATGATTATTATACCTACTTAAACGGTTATCAGTCATAAATTTCAACTTAAAGATTGCAACTATATAGTAATTGATAACTGTAATTTCTAAATCCGATTTTAAAACATCTTAAATAAGTACACAAGTCATAACTCATAATATCATAATAATAAGCGTTTCTACTGTAGGTTGTGTGGTAAAATATTTACCCACCTATTATTACTGTATTTTACTTCCATGGAGCTTTAAACAAAATTTACTAAATATTGATTAGGTTCTCGTTTATTACAGTGCTTATGAAGTCTCCAACATTAGGTCTAGGTCCTACTCTGCACTAGACACGCTATATATACCCTTCGGGGCAGTTAACGCTTTCCCACCTGTCCAGCGTTAACTTCGTCTAACATCTATTTGCTTGCACTGTGCAGGCCAACAACCAACGCCATCATGGGACTGACGTTCGCCAACTACGTCATTAAGCCGTTCTTTCCGGAATGTGACAATCCGGACGATGCGGTCAGACTCCTGGCGGCTGCCGTGATTTGTAAGTATATAGCCGTTATGCTACCAATATTGAAAACACCATCACGTGTTAAAAGGTATCATATTAATATCATCGACGATGTGTAAACAAAATATAGGTTTCATAACTTTTATCAACTGCTGGAACGTCAAGGCCACCACTAAAGTCCAAAATGTGTTTATGTTCACCAAGATATCAGCTCTGATTTTGATCATCGTGTGCGGCGGCGTTTACATGTACTCAAGTCAGTATAAACTATGTACAATAATTGAATAATAGTTATCATTTTATCACCAATCACTAAATAATAATAGCAACTAATCAATAACCAGATTTGGTGACTTTAATGTAAACAGAATAATATGACAATACCTCTGCTATCTGTTTATAAGCAGCCGGAAAATAACGATTGTTTTTGTTTTCACTGCAGTGATTCAAAAAAAAAAAACAAATCTATCTGGGTTCGTGCAGTTCTAAGTTTTAACTGTTAACTTCTTTTATAAAATTCCATTTGAGAAATAATTAATGACGGACYAGATTAAAATGATTAAATATAAAAACTGTTTAGGTATAACCGTATAGGTTAAATGATAGCTCCTTACAAATACTTTTATTCTGCTTTCCTAAGTGGCCATGTTTCCGCGGCATACAGTACTATGGGTCGTATCAAGGTCATGAACATTTGTATCTTCCGATTTATCGATAATGTTCTTGAGCTCAGTACTTTTCCAAGACCAAAAAACTTTTGATGCCTTTTTGTATCCTAGCACTGCAGACTTCCATCTTCAGGCCATTATCTTGTGTTAGCAAGTGCCTCAAGTACTTKAAATGTCTGACTCTTTTGAATATATGCCCTTCTACATTCATAGATTGTCCTTGTTGATATTCTCTGTCCTGGCGACTTAATATCATGTACTTACTCTGTTTTTTCGTCGTTTATCTCCAGTCCGACCTTACTAGCCATCATGATGAGTTTTCTGCATACTTGTTTAACCAACTTGTAATGATATTAAATGTAATTAATTTTTTTAAATATTACAGTATAAACATATTAATATTTAAGTATTTTACATATATCTTAGCTCTCTATATTAAAAAATACATACAAAAACACAAGAGTACTTTATTACTTTTTACTTTTTAAATATTTTAATTATAATGAATTATTTTACGTTAATTCTTCGCACTCTGTTCTTGATCACAACACCYAATGGCCAATGCAAATATATTTCAAATGATCTGGACACACCCATTTGAAAAAACGTTCACATGATTTCCTCGTACTTTTGTTTTTTGCTCTTCCACATAAATAACATCGACCAATTCCTTTAGGACGTTCAGACAAACTAGGTGTATCTTCGACGAGACCTAAAATGTTCATACCATTACGTCTTATATGGTTTGGTAATTTTTAATTTTTAATACGTCTTTCAATATTCGGTTTCATCAGCTGTAAAGCTGATGTTTCCAAAAATTCTGAACTTTTAGATTTGATGTCGATGTTGTTAAATGTATACATATTTTAATATTTATAACATTTATTCATAATATATTAATTAGATTAAAAAATAATGTAAGCGTCCAACGACCAGAATTTCTTGAAACATTGTATAGGTAGACTACGCATTTGGCCTAATCTATCAACGCCATATTCAGTTTCGTTGTAAAATATGTGATCATCTCTGGCTTTTRTTGATCTCCTGAGTCGTTATCGTACTAGTATACTACTTTATTTTTTTTCGGGACATATGAAGTGATTGTACAATCTTTTTGGAATACATGTTTTATTTTTTCTTAAAGTCCCCACTACTGTCAATTGTTTTTCAATTAATAAATATTTTGCCACTGAAAGTGAAGTAAACCAGTTATCAACTTCTTCAAAAAAAAGAAAAAACTTTCTAAATGAGTTTTCATATTTTTTGTAGTCGATTTTGGATCAGGTAAATGAATAATTATATTGTGAGAACSTGTACGATGTCTACTAGTAGCTGCTTGCTTATTCCATCTAATTTTATCACTACCAAAAAAATATTTATTTTGTAATATTGAACCAATATCATCACTAATATTTGACTCACTTTCACTTTCATAGTCACTATTTTCCGTATTAGTGTTTTCATCATTAACTTCTACCTGATATCCCCCAACTCATCTTCACTGTCGATGTCATTTCCATCAATTAATTCATCCTTCATCTTCTTCTAGCCATTGATCAATATCAAATATCATTTGTRTGGCTCATTTTTTTATAATTAATACCTAAATAAAAACTACAAATATAAAATAAACTAAATAATAAACGTGCGTAAAAGATCGCGCGGCATACACTGCAATGGCGATCCAACAAACTTTGAACTTCTATAACAATGACAAATTCTGCGACCGGTATTCGAAAACAAACTAATTATATTAAGTAACATGTCATTCGAAGCCTCGAAGGTACTGAAATGATAAGATAATTTCATTGGTTTTCAAARTACAAAAAATACATTTATTTTTAGATARATTACAAATATTACAATGGTAATCCGCACGATCTACGAGGGRCTAGACCCCGTYCTAAATCTATTTGATTTGTCTAGCGTCCAATAATGCTTGAACTTATTGCAGGACAATCCTACATTTCTTAAAAAATTTCAATTTCAATTTCATTATTATTATTAATTTTTTTTTATTTCATCAATTTATCATTATTATAACTTATAACTATTAACTGTGTATACCTCGGTCTTACATATAATATATATTAATAATATACCTTCTCTACATTTTGAATAGAAGACAATATGGTTTATAACAAAATTTTATTGTTGTATTATAATTATTTGGTGGCTAGACTTAGTTATGAAGCTATAACTATTTGAAGTCTGAAACCCACTCAATGTGGTTTTATGTAATAACAAGTCATCGTGGGATGTTTTTGATTTTATACATTGTCCGAGCGAACGATCGAATCGAATTATGAATATACATTTCAATTAGCTATAACATTATAACACTATATAAGTTCGGCCACAGAATTCTGACTTTTTCATAGTTTTTAGCATCCTTACATAACTGTACAGACGTTAAAACAAAAAAAATGACATCCGGTAAAACAAAAAGTTTCCAAATTACAYGATATGTAAATATTTGTCTTACATTGCTCTCAGTTTGGTAGTTGGCAATCCTAGCATAATATTTACAGGTCCGGATTGAAATGGCAAGCTACCGAGAAAATCTCGGTGAGCCGATCGTAAGTGTTTTGACATTTATTTTATGGTACAAATAAATACATTTATTTACTTCGGTGTGCTGTGTAAAATCGGAGTCAATTTAGAAATTTTCATTTTAAAATGGGCCTTTTAAAAATTAAAACTCTGTGGGTCTATCCGACGCTGAATATTTAATGAATTATCTAGAATAATGTWATACATGGAGTTGCCAGCATTTACGTGCTGCATACCCGYTTCTGGCCAACAATTGCATCTTTACAGGTAGTATACTTCCTTAAGTGGAWGTGCGTCGTAGGCCGTATGTGACAAGACGCTGTTGATTGTGTAGGCAGACATGTCCGCCCTCTTATAATACCTGTCYGCCTACAATATTATACGGCGTGTACGCATCTGGTGATGTACATCARTTAAAAATTATTCACATATTTGATATATCTAATGAATGTAAGTACTTACTTACGATATTACTTATGAAGTTATGACCAATATCAGTTAATCGACTTGTCACTTGCACAATATTTGTACAATATGTGTAATAGGTATTTACGTGTATTGTGGTTTCTGGCATTGCAGTCCATTAACTACTATATAATTAAACCATTACCTATGACGTAGTGTAATTGAAACAATTTTTTTTTCAAATAGAGGTTAACTAACAAAAGTTTAAAAACAAAACAGCGATGGGATAGAACGCGTTCGTTTTCTGTGAGCTGATCATGAACGTGAAATGTCTCATTAGTCATCCATCAGCATCATGATTTTTACCATACCTTCCGTCACTGCATAATGAGCTTCAGAAACACCACTGTTCTTCGCCTGTACTTATTATGCTCATATAGCCTATGTGTTATTATGTTCGGTGACGGGCACGAACATTTCAAATTGGTAGGGGGTTAGTTAAAATTATATACATGCCTAGTTGCCTAGTATGTTTCATAAATGCATTTTAGTGTTTTTATGTAGAGAAAAATAATCCCGGGGATGTTTTGACCACAACACTTACGTAGGCATACGGCACCGTGGGTCGTGTTATACATAATTATTATTATAATACAGTGATGTAATAATGTAATATGACTACGAACGATAATCATTAATATAACGTTCCGCAATTTATTATGTGCAGACGGATTTTCCAAGTTCATGAACCCTTGGCAAGGATCGGTCACAGACCCTGGCAGACTGGCCGTGTCCGTTTATTCCGGAATATACTCGTACTCGGGATGGTGAGATTTTTACCATTTCTGCGCGTACCTATGGCGTCGTGTAATGGAACCGTCGATAATTGATAACATTTTTTTTTTTTTTTTAGGAACTATTTGAATTTCATGACAGAAGAGCTCAAGAACCCTTACGTGTGAGTGCTACATTACCCCGCAATCGTCCTCCTCTTATTTTTGTCTGAGACATCACGTGTGATTCACCGTGACAGCTTACCGGGCTATTCAGACGAGGTATTACCTACATAACATTGATCTGTCGATTTTGTCTTCGCAGGAACTTGCCGAGGGCCATTTACATTTCCATGCCGTTGGTGACCATTATCTACGTGCTGGCCAACGTCGCGTACCTAGCCGTTCTGACGCCACACGATATGGTGACGACCAAAGCGATCGCCGTCGTGAGTGATATAATTTAGTTATTAAATACATTTATAATTACACACCTAATAGCCAATTGCCAATAGATATTAGATTTTCCAATCAACTACAACTTACTGCATATACTTACTGTTTTGAAYTACACGACGCCGCGAGGGTTAGGTATAAAAACGCTCATTAAAATGAAATTTAATTTTTGTTTTTTTAAATTTTTTTTTTRGCATGATAGGTATAGTTTGTATACTTAGTTTTGAACAAATAATCTTAATAATCTAATTAAATTCTTCCAATTTTTGGAGTCAGTTTTAATGTATTGTTCGATTAATCAATTAACTGAAAATATTGGGTGTATAAGTACCTATTGTTGTATTCAGCATAAGATTACAAAATGTATGCTATAAACTTATTAAAGAGCTTATTAGTACACGCCGCAAAATGATCTAATCTAATTATTATTATTTTTTCTTAAATATATATATGTCAATTTTAGAGAATATTCCAGTCTATACAGATGGCTCAATAAGCAGTAGCCAACGCAGTATTTTAGTTCGATTAGGGTTTTACATGTGTAAATAATTTAGATGTTCCCAAACTGTGTGTCGTGATTATATTTTTAGTGAGTAGTTAAATTTTTAAAATACATTTTTTAGAAATGTGTTTAGACGATATGATACATCCACGCAGTCTAAATCTTCTTTTTTTCAAATAACTAATAAATTCGTTTGTTTTTGTTTAATTATTATGGACCAATGGTTAAACGTAAAGTCAATGACTTAAAGTTCTGCGAAAACTGAAAAATCAGAGACAATACTTGCGTCAACAGTTTAGATAAGCTTGATAAGCCTACTTTTTAAAAAAAAAAAAGATCATTGATATTATTGTTGTCATCCAAAATTTAAATAATTAAAGTTTCCTACATGGGTCGTACCATAACAAGTTTAGAAACCTCTGATTTACATTATTCTTTTCTAAAAAGTTTTTATATAATTAATAATTTATTATATATTTATATATCTACTAAAAATTGCCAACAATTGATAGTCTCTGTGTGTTGAAATGGTAGTAGATAAGATTTTTTTGTAAAAGGAAAAAATCGTAGGACCCCGGAGAGGGGGGGGGTCAGAACCGACAGAATCTTGCCCCTGCGTATGCCGCCACTGACAATAAGTAATATTTATGGTAGAAATGAGAAAAACTAAATGAATAATTAATAGGAAATTTCACATTAGAAATACCTCATGCAGGCTTTACATTTATAATTTTTTCGTCGAGGCACCAGTTTCGCTTGAGTCGTCAGGTTTGGTATYCGGGTAGTGCTGGTGGTACAGCAAGGTCCCTCCTAATTTAAACTACCTATTGTTTAATATATGTATGATTAAAATAAATTATAGTTTTAATTTTTGGTATTTATGTGTCAAGATTTTCATTAAGTTAGCCTGTTTTGTTGAAAATCAGATGATTGATAGTTTAATAAATCCACAATCATAAAAATGTGTGTTTAATGTAAACTTTTTTATTATTATTTTAAATAATTTACCATGTAGCATGCAATTGAGCAACAATAATATTGTTTTTTCTATTTAGACTTTYGGTCACTTGGCAATGGGTTCGTTTGAATGGATTATGCCACTGATGGTTGCCCTTTCAGCATTTGGTGGTCTTTGTGTTCACATCATGACTTCATCCAGGTTGGTTTAAGTTATAATTACAATATGTTGTCCATGACTAGTCATTAAAGAGTTGAAATATTGAAACTTGAAAGTTTGTTTCCTCCCATAACTTTAAACAAGCCAATTTTTAACTTAACAATAACTAATCACTGCTATTCAATAAGATAAAAGTTTTTATGTTTCATCTGGAAAATAAAGTATTTACTAGATCCTTAACTAATTAATAAGTTAAAACATATTTAAAAAACACTTTCCTTGTTCAATATTCATTTAGGAATTTGCTGATGTTTATTTGTTACTAAAATTGTGTATTTTAATGTTTTTCAGAATGTGCTTTGTCGGAGCGCGATACGGTCACTTCCCCACATTCTTGTCATACATCAATGTGGAAAGGTACACACCCACCCCATCTTTAGTGTTTTTGGTAAGATTAGCATAATAATTACTATTGTTGGTGAACCTGACTGTAACTTATAACTGTTGCAGAACATCTTATCTTTACTCATGCTTTTTACAAGTGATGTTGGGATGCTTATTACATATTCGAGTATTGTGGAGGCGTTCTTCACAATGCTTTCAGTCTCTTCAGTATTGTGGAACCGATGGAAGCGTCCAAACATTAACAGGCCAATCAAGGTATGACAATGGAATTAAAGATATGCGCATTACAATCTAAATTATTTGTGGTTACAACTTTAGGTTTCCCTTTGGATCCCAATCACGTACGTAATAGTGTCATTATTCTTGATTGTGTTGCCGTGTTACGTAAAACCTTTTGAAGTTGGCATGGGAGTTGGTATCACCTTGTTAGGCATTCCAGTGTACTATTTATGTGTAGTTTGGAAGACTAAACCTATGTGGTTCCAAAATTCATTAAGTAAGTTGTTCATACTAACTAGACAACCACATGTGATTAACCTTATCCATCATTCTAATATTTTTATGACTTTTCAGAGCACGTGACTTTCACCATCCAAAAGTTATTTGTTAGTGCCAAAGAAGAAAAAGCAGAGGACATTTGGGAATAATGAAATAGGTTTACAATTTTATTATCTACTTGTCAATTATTGATTTTTTAACGGTTTTGAATTATTCGTCTCAAACATTTTCACTGAGAACCATTTAATTTTTTTCTTACTTTATATGTTACTCTCATGTGTTTGTTTTATTTTTAAAGACATGACATTTTTATAAAATTTACAGTTTCACATTTCTTTTTTAATTTTTATTGTCATCAGTATTATGAAATATATAAATGTATAATGTTTATATTAAATATTWTTTACATTAAACAAAAAAAAGTATATATTTTAATTTTTATTCATTTAAGGAAACCATATTGTTGTTTACAAAAATTACTGGACATGTCTTGAATAAGAGTTTCATCGAGCACTTTGTTCAATAGAATACCAATATGTGAACCAGACTAAAAATAATTAAAATATAATATATTATAGTTTTGGCTTTATAAGTTTAGAATAAACTATTTGTATTACCACAATGATCTCATTTAATGTATCCGGCATAAAGCTTCCGGCTCCTTTTTTTAATACAGCCGTTATATTCCCTTTGGGTGTGACTGATACAACAATACACCCTGCACCACAAATTTCCTCCTCTATAGTAGGATCAGCCACGTAACTGTTGCCAATCTTGCACAAGGACACCAAGACAGGTAAGTCACTCGCGTCTAGTGGTTTTGTATCGAATGGATCATCGGATATTTGTAGATCGATATTTTGGCCATCCTCGTATGTCCCCACAATATTTGGAAGACTTGTGTTGCATAAAGCAGCTTTAGCTGCCAATGATACAGCATCAAATAAGTTTCCTTTGAAATAAATATTCAATGGTTAATAAATGAACAGTTATATACATGGTACATAATATAATGTATGAATAAATATAAAAACAAGCAGTTAATTAGTTATAACTATTAACCACTCATTCAAAATTTGAATTTTACATAATATAGTAATATTATGCAAYATTAGAAAAGTTCTTTAAGAGAATGTCGCATTCGCATGTGTTGTCTCCGTCTTACACACCTACCACATACCAAAGTTTTGTTTACCAGTTTCAATAGTGTACTGTCAGTTTTGATTTCAGAGTGAATTGACCTATTATACAATTTAAAGGTAAGATCATCTAGGATCCCGCAGAGACTTTTCTTGATATTATTTTTAACTTTTTGAAACTCTGCATTTTAATGAGCAATATTAAAACTGACAGCACACTATTGAAATTGGAGAACAAACATTTGATATGCCGTACGTGTGTAGGATGGAGAAAACACCTCATGCGGATACAACATCCTTTTAAGTGATTCAAATAAAATTATATTAATTTTTTTAAGCATTATAATTTTTAAGTCCTATACTTTTTTGAATGAAAAAATATTTTTAATAAGTAATAACAATTAATTAAATCACAAACATTTTAATCGAATCTCTAGTGTTAGTTTTTAATTATAAATTATAAAAATATCATTTAAATAGGTAATCTTATTATTATATTTTAAAAGCAATAGAAAATTGCAAAACTATCATAATTAAAAATTTAATTTTAAACCTACATTATATTGTTACTAATTTAAAAAATTACGATTTATCACTGTATTAGTTTTAATGAAATAATCCATTAAGCTAATAAATTTATGGATAACCTAATTTTTACATGGGTTATCATATTTACAATGGGCTGAACTTAAATAAAAATTGAAAATAGCATCTACAAATGCAAACAAAATATAAATACATAAGTATAAGATATTTAAATATTATATTAATAATATAACCTACCTATTAAAAAACTAAATAGAAACTGGTGAAATTAAGTTCTAATTTTATTAAATTAAAATATAATAGTTAAATTTGTGTGAAATTCACTAGGTACCTCCGCATTCTAAGATCAAAACATCAACAAACAGCTTCCAACATGATTTTCCAGGAACAATACACAACTTGCTCAAGTTAAATACTGGGCCATGAGCTAAGGAAAGAAAGCGACTGAGTTCAGCTGCTAAATGTTCACCGCCGCGTCCTTCAAATGCCGGAGTAGCGTTGGCTGAACTGCACAAAACAATACATAACACAATAAGCACGCCATTTGGTTAACATTTCCCTTATATCGGAATAATTACCAATCGACAAAATATTCTATTTTACCATCCTTAGGAGCTTCTGGAAGAGGAGTGTCAATCTCGACTTTTACACACACCAAAATATCAGAGTTGGCTAATCGCAAGCGTGCTGACCCATTAGCGTTGCTCACAATATCCATTTCCAATTCCAACGGCCTGTAGTCTTGTCGGCTGCGTCCATCGCATCGGAAATTTTCCTACAACAATCGGCAATGTTCCGGTCAAACTTATTTGATAATGTTTTTAGATAAAATCCTCGATAATCTATATTGCCTCAAACGAGGCCCGTTTAAAGTAGTGCCTAGTGCTTCTGGATCACTAGCCATACCGACTTTTACAAAGACCAAACAAGTCTCCGTACCGTTACCGACTTACCTCGACTCCGTGAATAATGTACACCTTTTCCGCCTCGTTCAACGACACCAAACTCATGGTTTGTTTTGTACTCGTCGATTTCCACCACCGAACGACCGAACTGAATACGACTAAAAGAAAACTCTATAACGATTGACTTGGGCTACTATTAATCAAATCGATTCGAAACGTACATTTTTACAATAGTGATGTCCTTTAATTTGTTTTGTTGTTTCGAACAGATAACG